CCCATGTTTACACTCTCGAAGGGAAAAATGCTTTTCTTTTTCCATGGCTTGTACTTCCAATTTCGTGACTCGGGTGGATAGAACATCCAACTGGGTGACTAGTGTGTCCCACTCCTGCTTTCTTTTTGTTTCTTTGTTGGCTTCGACCATGCCATCAAAGAGTTTTGTTGCAACTTCATAAGGCTGGTGTAGCATGCTGCCCTCGCAAAGTTGACCAGCTATACTTCTATTCTCGGGTCCAAGACCCCTATAGAAGCACTCCAGTATCCCTTTGTCCGTTATCCCGTGAAATGGGAATGGTTGCAGCACCGCTTGAAACTTCAGCCACATTTCCTGAATTATTTCATTCCCTACCTGTTTAAATGTCAAGAGGTTATTCCTGAGGTTCAATAGCTTCAAAAGGTGATGATCTGTGTGATATCTGTAATGTTTCTCCATCCTTAATTCTTGTTCTGATATTCAAACTAGCAAAACAAACTACAAAAAATTAAGTGAGTAAACTACAACTAAAGAGAACGAAAATTTTACTAATCTAAGAATTCTCAAATAACACCACTCCCCGACAGCGGCGTCATTTTAATGATTTTCGTGACCAACGATACTAACCTACGGTTCTAGTGTCTAAGATCGTCGATAATATAGTAACCCAACCAAGGGTTGGGGTCGTGTCCGAAGAGAGTAGATTTAAGAATTAATAGAAAAATAAAATTTAGTTCTAATTAGTCGTAGCTAAAGACATTAACGAGTAAAACCATTGTAAATTAAAGGGGGTGACACAAAGGTGTCAAATATCAAATGGGGGATTTGTCACAAGTGCAGCAAAAACAGTAAAAACAATAAAGAAATCTATAAGTGGGAGGGGATTCTTAGGGTGTGACCGCAATATGTATTGATTTAAATCGTTGGGTACATGCTTTCGATAGGAAATTTGCAAGATAATAGTGACTAGGATAAGCTTTAAATAGAAATAAGTTCCCTCTCGGGCAACTTACTCCGTTTCAAATGGGTTTTTCTCGAACACCCATTTGCCTCATGAAGGCCAGCCTACACCTTACCCCACTCACTCTCTCGAGTTGAGTGTTAGGATATGGGACTAGGGCTCACCCTCTCGGGCTGAACCTCATGTTGACCTACTCCTTAGGCCATTAGTCTAGCAGTCTTGGTTTCACGTCATCTCTCTCGAGCAAGCCAAAAACACATGGGTGGTTTTGTATTTCCGACTACAAATCCATTAAATTAAACCACAACCACTAGGTGAAATCACCGTTAAAATACATCTAACCTATCAGCAAACAAGACCCAACAATAATATCAACACATATTTGCTAAATCACACCCCAAGAATGGGGGTTTTAGCTAGACATGAACAAGAGATAGAAATTTATACCTAAATGAGTTTGCATTCAAATGGGTATGAAAATTTAAGTCTTGTTACAGGCCAAGAATGAAGAATCCAAGAAACCCAAATCCAAATTTTAAAGATGAAAACCCTCCTCTCCTTCAAGTCTCCAAAACCCCCTCAAGCTTAGAGCAAAAATATCAAAAAAGTACTATTCTATTGTGAAAATAATAATAATAGTCTGACTCTCTAAAATTAATAAAATGTTTAGTATTTATAGACTTCAGAAAATAGTGTTGTTGGATCATTCGACGAGGTTAGTCGGAATCGTCGATTGACTCAACGATTCATCCTTTAGTGTAGTTTGTCGCCGTCTTGCACTTGCCTTCAGCATCGTTGTGCTTTGTGTCATTGGGTGACTTAGTACTACTTCACGGAACTATTTGGCGAAATACCAATTGCTCCTTTCATTACCTTTTTTATCTTTCTCCTTCAGGGCTTCGTATACTGGAACAAAAGGCGGAGTGTGTCCCTTCGGCGAATTGCCTGCTTGGCGATGCTCAGGCTTCAGCTTCTTCGTTCTTTTAAGCCTTTTTGTTCCTTTTTGCGACTAAATGTTCATGCTTCCACTAAAACTTCAAATACCTGAAACTTAAGTGTTTTCATCAGATATTTAGAATAAATAAGCATTGGAGGACACTATTTCTATTAAAATAAAGCCCTAAATGAGTTCAATTTGTGGACTCATCAGATACACTAAAAAAGGAGGCATTGATTATAAAGAGACCTTTTCACCGGTCTCAAAGAAAGACTCATTAAGAATTGTTTTGGCTTTGGTGCTCATTATGATTTAGAGTTACATTAAATGGATGTGAAAACTGTCTTTCTCAATGGAGACCTCGAGGGGGATGTTTATATGGACCAATCAGAGGGTTTCGAAATTAAAGGAAAAGATCAAATGGTGTGTAAACTAAAGAAGTCAATATATGGACTCAAACAAGCCTCAGGATAATGGTATATAAAGTTTAATGATATCATAACGTCTTTTGAATTTAAGGAGATTACCGTTGATCGATGTATATACCAAAAGATCAGTGGGAGTAAGTTTATATTTTTAATCCTATATGTTGAGGACATTTTACTTGCTGCTAATGATTTAGACATATTGCGTGAGACGAAAGACTTTCTCTCTATGAACTTTGAAATGAAAGATATGGATGAAGCATCCTATGTGATAAGGATAGAAATATTTCGTGATAGATCACATGGATTATTGGGACTGTCTCAAAAAGGTTATATCGAAAGAGTTCTAAAGAGATTAAACATGAACAATTGTTCAGCAGGAATAGTTCCTATTCAAAAAGGGGACAAATTTAATCTCATGCAATGCCCAAAGAATGATGTAGAACGAAAAGAAATGGAAACAATTCCTTACTCTTCTATTGTTGGAAGTTTGACGTATGTTCAAACTTGCACAAGAACGGATATTAGTTTTGCGATCGGAATGCTAGGAAGATATCAAAGTAATCCTGGAATTGATCACTGGAAAGCTGCAAAGAAAGTCTAAAGGTACCTGAAAGGAACGAAGGATTACATGCTCATGTATAGGAGATCCAATTACTTAGAAGTTACTGGATACTCGAATTCAGATTTTGCTGGATGTGTTGACACTAGAAAGTCCACATTTGGTTACTTGTTCCTATTAACTGAAGAAGCAATATCATGGAAGAGTGCTAAGCAATCTGTCATTGCTACATCCACAATGGAAACAAAATTTATGGCATGTTATGAAGCCACAATTCATGCATTATGGCTGCGAAACTTCATTTCACGACTTGGGGTTGTCGACACCATTACCAAGTCGTTGAAAATTTATTGTGATAATACAGCAGTAGTATTCTTTTTCAAGAACGATAAGTACTCCAAAGGTGTCAAACATATGGAATTAAAGTACTTTACCGCCAAGGAAGAAGTTCAGAAACAAAGAGTGTTACTTGAAAATATTAGAACTGATCTCATGATTGCAGATCCGTTAACAAAAGGCTTACAACCAAAGACATTTAAAGAACATGTTCAAAGAATGGGTCTTGGTTGTACTTATGATTGATGCATTTATGATGTTTTTACACTCTGAGCTCAAATTATGTGTTTCTGATATACATTAATGAATTTCTTGTTTCTCATAATGGTGTACACATTATTGTTTGAGATATTACAAGATAAGTCTCTATGAGACATTATTGTGGACCATAATGTTATATGTTTTATAGCTTATGAACCTAGTATGATGAGTTGCTAATGTAGTAGTATATGGAAGGGAATATGTAGCTTAAAATTTATGTACAACCGTCATAACTCGCATTAGTAGTTTGTTATATTGTGGTATGTATTGTGGACATTATAGAAGAGATTTATTATATGCGCCACTAATGTTCATGAAATATTAATGTTATATGGTCATTGGGCCAAGTGGGAGAATGCAAGAATTATTATTAATTATTTCTTACTTATAGCCCAAGTTTACTTGTAACCCAAGTAATACCATAAATAATATTTAATAAGGAATAAATCTCGTCTGTACATTGGTTACTTAATGGACGTACCAGATTAAGTCATAACCTCTATAAATTGGTCCTCCCTCCACCCATTAGGGTTACCACATATTCTCTACAATAATTATATCGCTGAAGGTTGTGGTAACATAAAGTTAGGGCAAGGAGGTAGAAACCAATTTACGACTAATGCTTCTGATTCTCTCTGTGATGATGTCTTCCTCATCAGGTATGTGCCCTAACAATCTCTATGTAAGATTATCGTGTTCAAGATCCTGATATTATATATTGAAGTATTTAATCTTACAGTTAATAGTTCGAGAATGAAATTAATAAGTCATGTTGTTTGCAATAAATTTTAAAGTGATAGAAAATAAATTGCAATCACAAATAAAATATGAAGAAACATAGTTTTATTGATAAACATTGCAGGTACAACTCTATTACTCCCTTGATTCTTCTCTCTCTTAAGATTTATCCATGATTCGAGGGTCATTAGTGACGTATTTCTCAAACTATGATGATTTGAATTTGATCTCTTTATGAATATTTCATGAATTTGTTGAACATTTGAGATGTTGACGTATGAATATCACAGAATTTATAGGATATTCGATATGCCTTTGCAATGTCTACCCATGCCGAGTTTAGGAACTTTCAATATTTCAAATGAACCAAAAGGGTATGTTCTTCTCTTTCTTTTTATTATCTTTGTGAAAACACATGGTCCTGTTTGAAGTTTGGATAATGTTGCGTGAGTACAGCAAGATGATATTGTTGGAAGTTATTCTTACACATGGTGTTGGTGCATTTGCTGTTAGCCTACCTCTAAATAAAAGCAAAATATTTGTATGAAACAAGTGAGAATTTATGATAGCCAGCAATAAAACACTCCATATTCTACCTCAACTAAACTCTCCTCACTGCAATAAATTTCAACCCTCTATAAACACACACACTTAAAAGCTCCATACAAAAATAACACTCTTATCTTTTCTTCAAACTTGTTTTTTTTTTTAAAAACTTATTTTTATATAATTCTTGGATCTATAAACACCCTTTGTATCATCAGTATTAAACCATAGAAAAAGCTCTGAAACTTGCAAAAACTTGTAGAAGAAAGAGACAGGTCTATATATATGGATCAATTGAAACCAAGCTCTGTCAATTCATCTCCTCTTACACCATTAACATTCTTGGAAAGAGCTGCTGTAGCTTATGGGGATAGTGTTTCCATTGTCTATAACTCCACTACATACACCTGGTCTCAAACATTTGTTCGATGTATACGTCTCTCTTCCTCAATTTCTTCTCTCATTGGTATAAAAAAAGGCCAAGTTGTTTCTGTTTTAGCTCCTAATATCCCCGCAACGTTAGAGCTTCAATTTGCTGTTCCAATGGCTGGTGCTGTACTCAACAACATCAACACTCGTCTCGATGCTAAAACCGTCTCTGTTCTGCTTCAACATAGTGAATCGAAGCTCCTGTTTGTTGATTACCAGCTATATTCTTTGGTACTTCAGTCAATTTCATTGTTTCCATCTGATGTTGACACTCCAATTCTTGTTCTTATAGAAGATGAAAACTCTGTTCCGTTTTCAAGAAATTTGGATTTCGATCAGTGTGATACTTATGATGCTATGTTGGCGAAGGGGGATTCGAATTTCAATTGGATTCGACCTGAGAATGATCGGGACCCAATGACGTTGAACTACACTTCTGGAACAACATCTTCACCTAAAGGAGTGGTACATTCTCATAGATCTCTTTTTATTATCACAGTTGATTCTTTAATAGATTGGTCTGTACCAAGTCAGCCAGTTTATCTATGGACACTCCCAATGTTCCATTCTAATGGATGGAGTTACACATGGGGTATGGCTGTTGTTGGTGGGACCAACATTTGTCTTCGAAAATTCGATGCTAATGTTGTGTTTCATGCTATAAACAAATATAATGTCACACATATGTGTGGTGCACCTGTGGTACTCACTATGCTAGCCAATTCCCCCTGTGCTAAGCCCTTAAAAAACCCCGTGCACTTCCGTACCGGTGGCGCTCCTCCCCCTGCCACCATTGTCCTCCGTGTCGAATCATTAGGATTCGTGGTGAACCACGGGTATGGGATGACAGAGGTGGCAGGGGTAGTCGTGTCGTGTATTTGGAAACCTAAGTGGAACAAATTATCGGCGAATGTGAAGGCGAAATTGAAGTCTAGACAAGGGATTAAGAGTTTAGGGATGGCGGAAGTCGACGTGGTGGATCCAGAATCTGGAGTTAGTGTAAAGAGGGATGGAGTTACAATGGGGGAAGTTGTATTAAGGGGTGGATGTATAATGTTGGGTTATTTGAAAAATGAAGAAGCTACATCAAAATGTATGAAAAATAATTGGCTTTATACAGGAGATGTAGCAGTGATGCATCCAGATGGGTACTTAGAAATTAAAGACAGATCAAAAGATATTATAATAAGTGGAGGTGAGAATGTAAGCAGTGTTGAAGTAGAATCAGTACTTTATTCAAACAATTTTGTGAATGAGGCAGCAGTTGTAGCAAGGCCAGATGAATTTTGGGGCGAAACGCCTTGTGCTTTCGTGAGTTTGAAGATGGAACTGAAACTTAAACCGAAAGAGAAGGAAATTATTGATTTCTGTAGGGAAAGATTGCCACATTACATGATACCTAGGACGGTAATTTTCATGGATGAACTACCAAAAACAGCAACTGGGAAAATTCAAAAGTTTTCTCTAAGACAGATTGCTAATGGTATGGGTTCGTTACCTGCTAGTCGAATGTAGGCACATCAAATTCTTTTTTTTCATTCGAAAGGACTTTTTCATTTTTTGAAATCTATTGATTCTTTGTGTGTGTGAAATGAAGTTGAATTCATTCAAAAAGTGCCTAAATATAGTAGTGCAATTTGTTATATGTGTAATTTTCTTCTTTTGTATGTAACAAAAATGTACAACGGATTGATTTGATTCTTTGCAATATGAATAATGAATTTATAGTACAAGAATTAAAGAAGGAAATCAGATCATTTTGTGTAGATTAATTTTCAAATTTGTCGAGTGTTGCTCAACATTTTTTGTACTCCACAATATCTGCTGTCATATCGTTACGTGCTCAATGGGGACCAATAAAAGTAAAGTAAAGACAGACATACTATAAATTGCTTTAAATGCGCCTTCTCCGTTCACTTTTATTACTTCTCTACTTTATTCACACATATTAACAAAATAATTATTAATATAGTGAGTTTATTATTTCTTAATTTGTCATCTATCTCTATCAAAGTAATTAATTGAGGATATTATAGGTAAAAAAATAAAATTATCCTTTCTTGATTTGTCAAAATTGACAAGTAAATAGGGACAACTAAAATAGAAAAAGTGGACAAGTAATTAGAGACAGAGAGAATAGTAAATTACTTTCTCTAGTCTATATTAAGTGAATTGTTGAGATATAATACACTTCGAAACTAATATAGACTAAATGTTATTTTTCAAATTTTTTTTCCAAATTGATTTCCTAGAAAATATAGACTAGTTAAGAACAACATTAAATGAAGGATACATATGGAAAAAATTATTCAACGATTCACTTATTTTCAAAAAATAAAGGTCTCAAGAATTTACTAAATATGGACTAAAGGAAGAGCTCGTTTAGATTGACTTAACAAAAAGTAGTTTTTAAGTAAAAAAAATAAAAAATCTAACTTAAATAATTTTTAAATAAAAAAATATAAAAGAGGGTAAGACCTACTTTGGTTTTTAACTTTTTAAAAGTCATTATAACTTATTTTAAGTTGCTTTTAACCTTCTCAAACACTTTCAACTACCGAAATGACTTAAAAGTTGATTATCCAAACATGCTCGTATTATATTAACAATAATTTTCAATTTTATTTGTGTATTTTAGCAAATAAAGATTACTCCCTCCGTCCAATAATAGCTATTCACTATATTTTTTTGGAATGTCTAACAATACTTGTCTAATTTATGAAATCATTGGATAAATTTACACTTAATTCCTAATTTACCCTTATCATTAATTATAGTCATTTCTCTATTACATTTTTCAAGACATTGTATTTATTATATTCAAAAGATGATACAGTAAAATTATTCTTTTATTTATAATTTTTTTTTAAAAAATGTTCAAAATTAATAGTGAACAACTATTATTGAATATTATTTTTCCATATTTTACAAGTCAATTTTGAACGAAGGGTATTAAAAGCTGTTTTTGTATCCCCACAAAGATGGATGTGGTCAATGTAAGGCTTTGCTTATATCGTACCGTATCTAAATCCACTTATAAATTACATTAAGTATGGTATAATTGTTACTGTTAATATTAAGAATATACATCAATTATTGACCAAAATAAAATAAAATAGAGGAAGCGAGTAGTTGAGATAATAATTCGACAAGATAGAATGGATGACCAGATAGCTATTTCATCAGACCCCTGATAATTGTCCTACTCTTTTTTTTCTCGAAACAAGCAATTTTAATAAAATATTATGGAAACAAAGAATTTATATATTATCTCATATTTCTATTCTAACCTTTTTATTTTACTTGTCATATTTTTTTATTTACACTATTCTAAAAAAAAATTAAATGAAAGTTTAATTTAATTAGATTATTTCTATTTATTTTTAATATTACTCTTTTTTTCATTACATTAATTTCTCTTCACATTTATTTAATCAAGGTAAAAGTAAAATTAATATTTCCTCCATTTCATGATAATTGACTCATATTAACTTGACGCAATTTTTTTAAAAAATTGTTAAGAATAAATTTTACTAAATTGATATCATTAACATATTTATATAGTTATTTAATGCTAACAATAGTATATAAAAAATTAATAAAATTTCTTGACTTATTTAATAAACAAATAGTAGTAAAAAGAAAAGAACACTGCTATATGGCCACAATTAGTGTGGCTCAAATTTGACCACAAATATAAAAAGACCACAACAACATTTTCCCTCCAAAATAAAGCTAAGTTTTTACTTTTCTCTAAACTCTAAAAATAAATTAGTTGTAATTTTTAGTTTGTAAATAAATAATAGTTCCAATGATTTTCAAATATAACATTTCGTTCAAATATGATAGCTAAAGCAATATTTTATTTTTCAATTTGTCAGACATGTTTTCTTATATAATTTATTTTTTTTGGTAATTAAATTTATTGTGTTACACTAAAGCGAAATCTTTACGAAGCAACAAGATTTAGAATATAAAACTATGCATCATATCTCTAATCCTATAAGATACTCTAACGTGTGATTATTGTTTATTATGGTTGTAATTGTGTTGTGTGCTTGATGATGAGATCGGGTATCATATTGGCACAAACTATTATTGGATCAAGTACTATGTTGGTACACACTATTATTGGATCGGATACCACACTAATACATACTATTATTGAATTAGATACCACCCTGGTGCACTAATTAACAATGGAAACATATACTATGTCGATACACTAACAATTATGTGTATGGGCTCTATGAGATAACCAGATTGACTTGTTGTGTTGTGGTGATTCATGTTTATTGTGTGTATGGGTTCCATGTAAAAATATTACTTCCTTTGTTCAATTTATCTGACACATTTCGTTTTTGGAGAGTGAAACGGTTTATGTTTGATCGGGAATTTGCGCATGAAATCTTAAAAAAAAAAACTAATAAAATTTATATATTTGTAAACTACTTAAAAAGTACTATAAGTCACAATAATTGACAATCCAAAATATTTAATAGATATATGGAAAATTCACAGTCAAAGATAAGCTAATTTGAATCTTGAAATCCGAAATGTGTCATGTAAATTGAGATGGAGGAAGTATTCAATATTGTTTATTGTCCAACTAATTATAAACAAAAGAGAACATTAATTCACAAAATGGAATGAGAGGCTATTTAATATGAGACGTATTAGTCGTGTGACTTGTGAGCAAGCTGTAACTATATGATCCATGTATTTAAACTTACTTTTCATCTTTTTACCCTTTACATCTGTAGTTTGGTACTATAAATGTTATTATTATTATTATTACTATCATACTCCACTAGTACTCAACAACCTACCTAATTAAAGCATGAACTGTACGTGATCCAGAGCTGTAAGATATAAATTCACCAAATTAATTAGTCGACGGGAACTGATGGAGTTTGAGGTGGTTTAATTTTAAGGTTGTTTTATATTAATTTGTTGGCGGTTATGAAAGATAATAAGATATCAATATATAGTACTTACTCAAATGTACTAATTAGTAGTTAGTTGACTCCCAACAAAGTCATAAATTACAATTTGAAACCATAAATTATAAATTTACAACAATTAAAAATTTATATAGTATACAAAATAAAGAGAAATGATAGCGAGAACGTATCTACAATAAATAACACAACATCATTTTTATGATCTTAATCACTAAAAATAGAAGAGAAAAATATAAAATGAATGCACAATTTTCCGAACACTTGTCAACATCCATTCCTATAAACAATTTTAAGTCGATCACCATTCAATAACCTTCATTTTATTCTTCAAGTCAAACTAAAGTATGGAGAAAATAAGTATTGAAAACATGAGAATAATAAAAATAAAGACCATTAGGTTTTGCATTAAAAAATATGAATGAATGGTTAATTTACATATTTATTATTTCACAATAAAAAATAAAAATAAAGACCATTATGTTTTGAATTTGTGGAAAAAGATTGCAGAATATATTGATGGTGAAGTTGAGTGTTTGGGGAGTAATTAAAGAGGTTTAATGGGTTTAAATGAGATATAAGTTACAATTGAGGGAGAAGAAGAGGTGTAATTAAAAGAATAAAGTGGGTAACTTTTCATTACTTTTGCAATTAGGAAAAAAATATTGAACTTCCGCAATTATTACAAATTTTTAGTCAATCAATTATGTTGAAATAGCAAAATTAACATTCATATTTTAGTTACTGCCATTTTCATTGAGTTAATTAGTCAATGGCTTAATTTCATTATTATTTAACAATAATTTAATTGAAGAAATTATATTTGTGATGTATCCTAATTGTACCATTATTTATTTATTCGTTACACAATTTCTTAATTATAGGAGTTAAATATCTTTTTTTATATCATGAATATATTTTTAATTTGTAATTAAAAATAAGATAAAAGCTCTCTTAATAATAGAGGCCATTGGAAGATGCCACATCATCATTTTTATAATTGGCTTTATATAGAGAGAGAGAGAGAGATTAATTGGCAGCGCCATGAAGTACGTACTGATATCAGATGTATGTTGTCATTATTTTTAATTAACATGTGGGCAAGCATTTGTTGTTAATTTTTTTGTGTAAGTTTTTTTTTTCTTCAGAAATCTGTAAAAGTAAATTGTAACACCCCACAACTTCTAAGCAAAGGTATGAATTATTCTCCACATGCATATAGGTTCAAATCCGATGATTTCTAATTGTAGCTATGTGTTAAGATTAATTTCTCATGTTTTAAGTGTAATATATATGAATTAGGATCATAAGGAACCTCTAGCACTAAGTCGAGTCCAAAGCTTTCTTACTGGATAAGATTTTTACATGGATTCATGTAAGAGTCAACTTCAAACAATCATATATCCTATTATGTGAAGAGTTACGTCTAGTAACCTATCAAATTAAATATCTTTGAATTTAGTTTCAAACGCATCCAACCACTCATCAGTACGACTTATGAGTAAAAAGTTATGATCATTTTACTAAATATATAGTGGCACATCGCAGTTACACAACTAGGCAGACTTGTGTA